AAAGATGTATTGTGGTTTCCTAAGATGGTTTTTAAAAAAACATACACAGTTAAGTAGCCTAATTATTCTCATTCTACAGATATGGAAGTGGAGGCACAGAAAGGTTTAGTGACTTCCCCAAAGTCACACAGAGATGCAGTGATTTATTCAGCATTTCATACAGAGAATCTGACTCCAGGGTCAAGACTCTGATCCCTAACTGTCCTCAAATATTGTTCATTGAGTTTACGGATAAATTACAGTTAGTATCATTTTCCCCTTTATTTATTAATAAGAACTGCTTTTGATTTTCCTTTCTACCCTACACTTGTTTGATTTGGGTATTATTATTATTATTATTATTATTTCCTAAAAAATAATTTAAAAGCTTTCTACTATTCTTCCCTGGAGCATTTAAGTGGCACCCAAAGTCTCTTTTTATTAATTCTATGGACTAATTCATATAGTCTTTTCTTCCCCCTCTTTTTGTTTGTTTGTTTTGGGTTCACATCCGGCTAGGCTCAGGGCTTATTTCTGGCTCTGTGCTGAGGGGTCACTCTTGGCGGTGCTTGGTGATCATAATTGGTGGCAGGAATTGAACCTGGGTTCAGCCAGGTGCAAATGCCTTATCTTCTCTCTCTCTCTCTCTCTCTCTCTCTCTCTCTCTCTCTCTCTCTCTCTCTCTCTCTCTCTCTCGTCTTCTTCATATTGTTAGGAACCAACCCCAGTGGTGCTTTTCCAGACTCCCAGCCAATGTCAGGGATTCTCAGTGGATGATGCTCTGGGTCCACCATGACTATACAGGTTAGGGGCGGTGATATGAGACTGGAAACTGCATGCACGGCTTTGTCCATACTTGCCGTATGCTCTGCTACCTAAACCACATTCCCGGCCCTTCCATCATCTTTTTTCCCCAATTTTAATATGCTAGGAGATGTTTCGCAAGCACAATTCATTTTCCAAACTGGATGAACAGGTGATCTGGAGATGTAGCATCTCCTTTGCTGAATCTGCTGGCTGACAAGAAGGTCTTGGAGGACAGAAAGCCCAAGAAGGATGTTGTCTGCGTGCTCTGTCTCCTGACGCCGGAGTGCAACCTCTGATCAGCTACACAGTTCCCTGGTGCACAGCTCCTGCTGAAGTCACATCTCTAAAGTCAAGGGGAGGGTCTTGTCAGGGCGCAGGCACGACCAGACCCAAATTTAGAAGGAGGTGTGGCTGACTCAACTCCTGCGTGACTCCTGGCTGCTAATCAGCGGTCTATTGCCAGATGCCTCTACCAAGCCATAGCTGTGGAGACTGCATTTATGTGCAAAATGATGCCCATCTCAGGAGGCTCTTTCCTGAGAAATGATCCAAAACTGTGCAGAAAAGTTCTCAGAAGGGCCAACAGGCTGTCCCCCAAAACTGTTTCCAAGGACACAGCTATTTCTCATGCCCATGATGATAGAAGATGCAGAAGGGTCCAAACAGTCCTGTAATTTAACTCTGGGGAAATATTACTAATGCTTTCATTTTGTAGATAAGAAAAGCGAGTGCCTCCTCTCAGTTGAAATAGCTTCAGGTTTCTCAGTTGTGAGTAATTACATGAAACTTTAAATTTCCTGGTTGGGGGACTTTTCTCTTTATAATTCTGCCTCCAACGACACCAGGGAGTAGAATTTAATCTCCCAACAAAGACCTTTGCACCGGGAAATACAGGCTATACCTTGCATAGTCCGGAGGATGGCATTCACATAGCTGAAGAGGCAGAGGATGGCAAACGTTAGCAAACCATTGGCCCTAGATTACAGAAAAGAAAATGCCAAGGAAGGAAATGAAATAAGGAAGGAGCAAGAAAAGACTGTGTGCAGGTAACCTGGGGCAAGGTTAGGGGTCTTAGAGTGGTCTTCAGTATAGAGGTACAGTGTCTGCAAATATCTAAATCAGTAGAGCCAACACTATACTGTAAGGATGGGAGCCAAATTATAACAACTGAACTTTTTAGAATCCTAGTGTGTTTGTACAATAAAATCACTGACAGGCTCATCCTGCATGGACAGGTAGGTCTCAGAAGTAAATGGGCTCAGGCTCCACTGAGAGCATGCCCGTGGCATGTCTACGTGTCTACAAAATGGACTCTCTCAAAGAACAGTCAAGACTAAGGGAGGGATTTCATGGTTCTATAGGAAGAAGTCAGAACAAGGAGTTCAAGGAAACTGGGTTCTTTTCCCCACCCCCCGACCCAGCAGTGCTCATCAAGGCTTACTCCTGGCTGTGCACTCAGGAACCCCATACCCAACAGTGCTCATCAAGGCTTACCCCTGGCTGTGCACTTAGGGATCACTTCTGGCAGTGCTTGAAGGACTATACACAGTGCCAGGGATGGAACCTGGATCACCACTTGCAGGGCAAATGTTATACCCTCTGTTCTGTCTCTCTAGCCCCTGAATCTAGTTTTTGATCTGACTCTGTACATAATTTCTGGGTGACTGGAAAGTTATCTCATCTCTCTAGGACTCTCAATTGCGAATCAATGAAGTTGCTGTGGGTGACTAACCTTGATTCTTTTAGTTAATCCCAACACTAAATATTATAAGACCTAGTATCATTTTTTCCTTTTAACTTGGGCGACTCTTTCTCCGAATCAACCCTGGCGATCAATGGGGTGACAGATGTCGCAGTCAGGCTGGAGTGATAGCACAGCGGTAGGGCGTTTGTCTTGCACGCAGCCAACATGGCCAACCCGAGTTTGATTCCTCCGCCCCTCTTGGAGAGCCTGGCAAGCTACTGAGAGTATCTCGCCCGCACGGCAGAGCCTGGCAAGATACCTGTGATGTATTCGATATGCCAAACACAGTAACAACAAGTCTCAAGATGGAGACATTACTGGGCCCGCTCGAGCAAATCGATGAACAACGGAGGACCATGAACCGTGGACTCTTTCTCCAGAGATACTAGAGACAGCCAGGAGCAAGACCACCCTTCCACCTTGTTTTCTTCTCCTGAAGAAGTCACAGCTCTGGGGGTGAGGGAGTGTTAGAGTGATAGATGTGAGCAGGGTGACCAGTACAGAAGAAGAAGGACAGACAGAACTATGGGGAACGAAGGAAGCCTTATCCAGAGTCAGTCTGATGTGAAGAGCTATTTCTGAGGGCGGAGCAGTGGCAGCCTAATTGGGGCGACTATTAACACCTCCCTATAGTGATCCTAGGGGACAGAGGGTTTGGGAAACTGATTTTGTCCAAGAGCGCTCTTGGGGATAGAGGTGAGGGAGTCATGCGAAACCTAGAGATCTCAGGGCCCTTGAAAAGTCGTGAAAGCGGAAGTGAGAAAACTCCAAATCCAAGCTCCCCCCATATTCTACACTCCCCAGTGCTGCTAAGACTTTCTGATTCTGCTGACTGTGCAGAAAGAGCTGCCTCTCCCCCCTCCCACTCCCATAACCTCTTCTCAGAGAAACAGCTCCCCACCATCTGCACCTATTAATTTACAAATTTCAGGTTCACTTGGCAATCAGAACCCTTGGTTCCCTCCTCCTCTTGTGGCAGCTGAAGGCTCTTGATGCTCATTTTTGTGCCAGAGTTGGAGACACACAGCCAGGGTCACCTCTGTTTCTCTCTTATTCCTACCCGCTCGGCTGTTCTGAGCTCAGCGGGAACCAGAACCTTCCAGGGGCTCTTGCACAGAAAATGCTAGCTCATCTTCAGTTTTTTTTTTCCCCAGTTTCAATTTCCATGGCCTTAATAAGAGAGTTTTTCTTTCTCTTCAGCCTTCCCTACACCACATGGCCACTTTCAACAAATTAGATGAAGGATTAAAGCTCGGGTTAAAACAGCTCAAGGAAAGAAAACAAAACAAACAGACTAAAACCTCGAAGCTTGTGTCTGCACCTAATTCCTTTATCTGTAGCCATCCACCAAGAGGTAAGAGAAAACAATGTGGAAGCTTCATAAGCTTGCTAGATTTCTCTAGTACGTCACAGATCTGAGGCTACGGGGGAAAAAAATGTGTCCCCAAAGCCATTTACCATTGACTGTAATTTCCCCCTTTATTGCTATTATTGCTAAAGATGAGATCATATGACAGCTTTTCCTCCTAAAGCCACATGCTGAAATAGTAAAACCCCAATAAGATGCAATTAGAGTTTCTGACATTGCTTCTCTTCTCAAAGTATGCCTCCAGGTTGAAAAGGGGGAAAAGGAAACATTCTATTTGGATTTACTTTTTTTTTTCAAAAAGGGCAGATTTTGTTTCTTGGAACCAGCATATGTTTTTGTTTTTGTTTTTCATGGAGTAACATTTTGTGATGAATTTCAGGCAGAAGCAAGGAAGGGGCAAAAGTAATTAATTCAAAGTGATAGCAAAATAAGATTTGCCCTTGGATTTATCTATTTCTGTGACATGTTTCCCACCAGCATTTAAATCAAGCCAAGCAATAAATCTTGGGATGAAACTTTTTTCTTGAATAATGTTGAGTTAAAATCTATAAATGATAATCATAACCAATATTATTTGTTCTATACCCATATTAATAAGTGAAAGATTTCTGTTGAGGTAAATGTACACTGGTGGAGGAATAAGTATGTATGATTGAAACCTAATCATGAATAGGGTAAGGATCTATCTCACAGTGATTCAATAAAAAAAAGTAAAATGAAAAAAAGAAAGAGCAAGATCCAAAATATAAACTAGACTATATCAAGTTCTCTCCCCCAATCAAGGAATTTTTTTCAAAAGCTGTAGAATTAATACTGTAGGATAATGCTGTAGAATACTTTAGAATTAATTACATGGGAGCAGGCCGATTTAGTGCTCTTTATCCACCATTGGCAGTATACTAGATCACAGTGAGAGTGGCGAAGAACTAGGATGCCTTTATCCTTGCCTACCTGCTTTAGAATATAAGAGGTATTAGGTTAGAGGTCAGAAATGTTAAAACCTGAAATAACTGCAGGGCAGGGTCCTACTCAAGGACTAAGCAGATTTTGAGAGACCAAAACCTAAACACGCATTCTATTCATTCACAAATTCTTTTTATTGACCATGTGAGTTCAAGATCTAAAAAAATTGATTTGAAACTCAGAATTGTTCCTCTCTACAAAAATCTTTAGGAAAAGGTGAAGGATTTATGTAATCTGAATAGAAACAATTAACTCATTAATTATATAATTTTTAGATACTGTTGTTTTCCAATACTCTAAAAATTTCAGGAGTACAGTTTCACACTTGACAAACCTTTATGTGCCATTATCCAAACCACATAAAAGAACCATAAACCTCTAATTCATTCCTTCTGCATTTTCCTCCCACCCATTTTTTTCTCCTCTACTTGTGATAATTATTTTTGTTGTCAGTGTTCAAAGATTTGTTTTTGTTTTGCTGTTTGCTCATTTGCGTAGTTTCTTTCTATGCTACACATGAGCGAGATCCCATGGTTTGTCTTCTTCTAATGTCATTAATTAACTAATTATTTTTTAGCATACCTGGTGATGTTCAGGGCTTACTCCTGACTCTGTGCTCAGGGATCACTCCTGGTGGGAATCGGGGAACCATGCGTGGTACCAAGGATTGAACCCAGGTCTGTTGTGTGCAAAGCAAGTAAGTGCCTATCCACTGTACTATTTTCTTGGGCCACTCATTCATTTATTTAATAATGATGTCCTCATTGTCTGCTGTATACCAGGTGCTTATCCAGACAGTTGGGTTTATCTATTGTGTAAAGATCCATCTTCAGGAAGCACACATTCTAGTAAAGGAAGATGAACAATAAGCAACAACTGTGGGAAGGGGAAAATGCGATAGTGGGATGGAAGCTGGGGAAAGCTATGAGGAAAAAATAAGGAGTACCATGGTGCATGGGGGCATGGATGTTATATTTTAAATAAAGGTGTTGAGAGTTCCCATCTGAAAAGTATTACTTGAATAAAAAGAATGAGGACCTTAGACACAGAGATAACTGAGGCAGAACATTCTTAAGAGGGGTGACCAGTTATTACAAAGCTTACAGTGGCAAGTTGAAAAGGAAACAAGGGTTAGAGCAAAGGTGACCAAAGCAGACAGTGGGAGAGATGACAGCACAGGTGTAAAACAAAGCAGGTATGGTCTTAGCTTTTATTTTGTGCAATGTTCCCATGGGCAGTTTTCGGGCTCTTTCTCTATTAAATTAAGATGTTCAGGGGCTGGAGAGAGAGTACAGGCTCTTGCCTTGCATATGGCAGGCCCAAATTTAATCCCCAGCATCACACACAGTCCCTAGAGTGCCTCTAGAACTGATCCCTAAACACAGGCAGGAATCAAGCCTGAGCATTGCTGACTATGCCCCCCACATTCCCACCAAATGATTGTCATACATCAGCTGAGAGGAACATTTTGGGTAATTATTGTGCAGATAATCTCAGTTTCAGCAGAGTTTCTAATCTACAGAATTCTTATGAAATTATTGTTCACCAAGTTTTTATTTCATAACAGTAAGTTATAGCCTGACAATGGTGAGATAAAGTTAGAACTCAAAATGTCATCCTAAACCTGTAGTGAGTTAGAATTCCCTGGGGAACTACTACAATCTGCTAAAGCCAGCACCTGCTCCCAGAGATACTAATTTAAGTCCTGTAAGAAGATCCCAGGAGGTATTATTAAAAACAAACAAGCAAACAAAAATTCCTGATCAAAATGCCAGAAACTCCAGGTGAATCTAATGTGTAATAGAATCAAACACTTCTGTGTTTGCTGTTTGAAGACAAAGACCTTTAGTTCATTGAACTTAAGATAACATATCAGAGGTTTACTTAGAATTAAAAAATCAAGTTTCAAGGGCTGTGTGATTCTACAAAATGTATGCATCTATAAAATCTTCAAAATGTTTATGAGATAGTATGTTTAAAACAAACAATGAAATGGGAGATTATGTAATATTTTTGTAAAGTTTTTCCTCTTTCCTCCACATACCACATGTGGAGCTATAAGAATTCCCTGCACATTTTATTTGACATAAGGTTCTAAGAATTTGGTAAGACTTTTCGTAAGAATGTTTAAAGAATTTGGGAGTTTCTGAAAATATACTATTCTTTGCGGTGACCGCTATGCACATGCTCTGTCACTTACAATACCCATGCCCCATTTGATATGTGGAAGACCTACCCCTCATAGAGATGGCATTTGGCACACAATTTTTAGAGGGTAATTAAGGTTAAATGAGATCACAAGATCACAGGCTGGGTCTTAAAGTCACAGGACTGGTGTGACCTTACAAGGAGAGAGAGAGGCGGTGGGGTGGGATTGGGGTTGGGGGGAGAGAAACAGAGAAAGAGAAACAGAGAATATGTGTGTGAGAGTGAGAGAGACAGAGAGAGAGAGAGAGAGAGAGAGAGAGAGAGAGAGAGAGAGAGAGATGTGGGCTGACTCCAAGAAAAGACCATGTAAGAATAGAGGAATAGAGGGATGGTAATCCCTTGCAGGCCAGGAGTCTCACCAGAAATGAAACTAACTACAACCTTGATCTTAAACTTCCAGAGTCCAGAACTATAAAATAATATCAGTTGTTAAGCCACCCAACTATAAAATAATATCAGTTGTTAAGCCACCAAGCTGGTAAGTGCCCTCGATGGTGAGTGAGCCAAAAAGCATGGTGGGCTGGATTTGCCTCCAAGCACAGTTGATTCCCTAAATGCATCTGCAAGTCTTCTGCAGACCCTCACCTTATTATTTTTTGTTGTTTAGTTTTTTCCGGGGGCGGGGGTCGCACCTGGGGATGCTCAGGTGTAAGTTCTGGTTCTGCACCCAGGAATCACTCCTGGTAGTGTTCAGAGGACCATATAGGATGCTGAGGATGGAATCCAGGTTAGCCATGTTCAAGATACAGGCCCTACTGGCAGTTATATCTCTCTGACCCCAGGCGATCCATCTCCTTAGACAGCATTTCCATTCATTAGCCATTTTCAAATACAAACAAAATACATTCATGTGCAAGGAGTGAATGTGTATGCTACATCTTTTTAAGCATATTTTTAATCTTTTTGGCATTTAACTTCATATAGTACTTCTTTTGCTCGAGCGGGCCCAGTAACGTCTCCATTGGAGACTTTGTTGTTACTGTGTTTGGCATATCGAATGCTCTCGGTAGCTTGCCGGGCTCTCCGAGAGGGGCGGAGGAATCGGACTCGGGTCGGCCATGTTGGCCGCTTGTAAGGTGAACGCCCTACCGCTGTGCTATCGCTCCAGCCCAGGTATGCTACATATGCAAGAACAAAAGCAAAATAGAGGATGAAGGGTATTTATTGGAACTCCTACATGGCTCTTTGCCTTCCTGTCTATTAGGAAAGGCAAGTCATGTGGATGAGTTGTCCATAAAAACATTGTTTCAGTATATAAAACCATATTTGGCTATTTCAGAGTAGGATTTGCGTTTTTAAATTTTTTCATCACTAAAATTATTAACATCATGTCTCTGTATTCATTATCTTATGTGTTACTCACAAATTTAGATGCTATTTTTTGCCCCATTTCCAATATGAGGAAGTCACATTTTAAAAAAATCTAAGAAATCCATTCACAAAGCTAAATGCATTGCAGATCATGGCTTCAAGCTGCTTTCTGAGTCCTAACTCCCACTATAAATAAATACTAGATTCTATGCTTAACAGGAGTTCCTTCACCTGTTTAGGAAACAGAATATGTGCTGTGACCATTTTTCATCAGTTTTCTCAAATGATTCTCAGAATTTACTTGCCTGTTCTTCACTCTGAAAGCAGGCACATTTACTTATATTTTTCTCTTGCCTCCTAATAACATAGATGACACCAGTGAAGACTCTGTGACAGCAAAGATAATGTGAAATGTTTCACAAACACACAAGGTAACTTTTATCTTCTCCCTGGAAAACTGCAATCCACCTACTCATTTCAAACTGATTTTAATTTGATCATAGCCCTCAAAACAGAACAATCAAAAATCCTACAAATATTCTTGTGGGGGAAAAGTCCATTTGGGAAATGCCAGATAACCCAGATGGAACAGAGAAATCTGTTACTAGCCTCCAAATATCAACAGTGCATAATTAGCAGCTGCTAAAATAATAGAAGTCAATTGAACAAAAATATGGTATACCACGCATTCATTTATTAAATACCTTGTGTTTCCAAACACTGCCTTCCATAGTGGTTTAAAAGTATTTCTGGAGCATTTTGTGTGTATGTCTAGGTGCCAAACAAAGAGAATGGACAGAAACTTCGAAAATGAGGATTACTACATCCAATAGGCAGGCATAGACATGAATGACTCTTTTTCATCTGCCTGATGAAAAACTACATCTGTCAAAGGCAACCTTTAAGAGGGCTGCCTTTATCAAAGACGTCAGCAGCCCATCTCCCTGGGAGACAGTGAAACCTCGCATTTATCTAAATTATCTCAGTAATATGACAGAGTGATTGCTCACTAATGGTCAGTAACAGTTTTCTTTGTCATTTTCCTAGTCATTACCTCCTCAGAATGAACTCCAGAATAAACTGCTCGTAGTCGTGACTAGGCTGTTAATTTCCTCTTTAAATGTGTGGCTGGTTCTCTTAAGCATTTCCAGTTGGTTATCAGATTCCTGACACTTCCATTTGGTGATAAAGAAAATATGCCTTAGAAAGCCTGATGAGAACAGAGTCGCTCTACATAGAAAGCAAAAATAATGCTTATGCTTTGCCTGCTTGTGAATTGTCTTTGTATCATCGGCTAAAGGAGATGGTGACTGCTTTCTCAGAAAGAGCTGGGAAGGTACCTGCAGGTGTGCGAGCTCTGTTTCTGCTGCTCATCACGTAAATCTCAGATGTTCATATTTCAGATCCTTTGAAGATCCTGATGATACAGTAAAGCTAGTTGAGCTGGAGAGAGGGTTCTGGAAATATTTTGCTGCAGCACTGTGAGTAACCAAATTCCTTCTCCTTTCTGAGGGGGTGGGAAGGCGGTGACCAACTTTTGGTTATATGTTTTACTATTTAATAAAATAGAGATTCAACTTCAAAATTAAAATACCACACCAAAGGGAAAGGTGTAAGAAAGCAGAACTTTTAGTTTTCTTCCAGAGATTTTATTTGATAGAGATAACATTAATTTATACAGCATTGATTTACACATTACTTTACACACGTGCTTTAGGGCTACAGTCTTATAC